GTGGATGTGAATCATTCATCTGGGTTACCCAAATGTAGTTTTTTCCCTGGGTGTTCAGGCAGGTGTGCAGGTGTGGCTGTGCCCAGAATCCTGCAGGGTAACTGCAGACTGAGGGCAGAGAGATCTCCCCCACCTTGGCATGTGGCACAGAGCCACCCCTTGCTCTCCTACTGCCACAACTTCTGGTCACTTCTGGGTCTCTCCTGCCCTCTGTTCCCCACATTATTTTCCCATAAATAAATTTCCCTTATTTTCCCATGTTTCCTGGGACGAACCCAAGCTGTCCCAGGTAACTTTCCTGAGGATGCTCCAGTGGAGCTTCTCTGGGGCAGTGTCTGTTACTGCACATCTGGGGGGCAAAGCCCTTCAGCACAGGCAGGGCTGGTTCTCCTGGCCTTCTCCAGCTCCCATCCAGGCTGTTGCAGCAGTTAATGAGAGCTGGGACTTCTCGTGCCCTCAAGTGTCTGAGTCATGTGACCAACACAGTGAAAAGTTTTAATCTAATGCAGCCATGAGTATTCTGTGCAGAGCATCCTCCATATGTTAATTATTAATAATATAGTTATGAAAAAAGTTCCTGTTCCAGCTCTCTCTTAAATAGGATTTACACAGCCATCTGGTGTTCTGTTTAATTCTTATTTTTTTTTTTTCCCCAACCCAATTTGTGTGTCTTACTGTTAATTCAATTAAAACTCGTGAAAGAGGAAGGTGCTCTGGCTTTGTGGTGGTTATGGACAGAGCTGCTGAGGAGACAGAGGTGGGCACTCAACATGCACAATTAAAAGAATAGAGCAATGATAATTTTGCCACTGGGAAAGAAGGGAAATGAATGTCACCTCCTACAGAGGAGCAATAGCTGTACACCTACAGAGAAGCCACAGCTTTACACCTAAAGGTAAATGTGGACACAAGGCCCCTGCCAACATTAAAGAGAGACAAGAAAGGATCATATTGGTACAGACTAAAACGAGAACATAAAATATGTGCATCTGTGCAGCTGATATACAGCAGCAAAATGGTTTTATTGTAAGACATCAAAACTTTAATTTTCTCACCATTGGCTGTCCAAGGGTAGTTCCAGCCTCTGAACCTCTGCCTCTCAAAAGCAGGAATCATATTCTGGCTTAATTAGAAATGAGTTCACACAGAGAAAAAATGTGTGCTACCCTTATATTTCAAGTACCTGGGTGAAAACAAATTTGTTTGAATGTTTCAAGAAAAGGAAAAAAAACCATTACTATAAAATTTTCAATCAAGAGCACAGTAAGCTTTCAGATGTTGTAAACCTGCATGAGCAGCAGCTGAGGATACTTATGGCCACAGAGCTCATGGTGCTTGGGATCAGAACTTAGCAACTGAAGCGACTTTTGGTCATAATCCACCAACACCACCTGTCCCACCTTAATGCTGCCTTTTATTTTGCCACTCCTGTGAGCAGCTGCTGGACCCCCCCCCTCCCAGAGTTTGCTTTCACTGAGAGAGCTCCCAGCCCCTGCTCCAGGGTCCAGGTGAGCACCTGGGCTGCAGCAGCACCAGAGTCCTTGGCTGCTCCTCCTGCTCCCTGCCCTCCTCCTCCTGTGCCCCAGACCCTGCAGAGCTGGAAGAGAAAGAAATCCCTTCTTGGCTGAAGTGAGCAGGTGCAAAGCATCACTAAATAAACCCGGGGAGACAATGGTGAATTTGCAACAATCCCCTAACGTGGGCGAAAAGTTCAGTTCTTGGAATCCAGGACTCAGTAAATGCTTAAGTGTTTGAAAATTGTTTGTTTTGCTCTTGACAAACCGTCTCCATTTTAATAATTTTCAAGGAATCATTAAGACAGCTGATCTAAACAGAAAAATGCCTCTGGAAAACTTGGTCAGAGGACATTTGAGTGAATTTTTTTCCAAAAATCCTGGAGTACACAGTGATTATTCAGTTCTTTCAAAAACTGTGAAGAATAACAGCAATACACCATTTTTATAAAGACTTTATAAACTACTTTAATTTTGGGTTTCTCCTTGCTACAAAATATGTAAAAGCAGAGCTTCTTAATTCTTCAAATATCTTTTATAGGAAGTCCTTGAATTAGAGCCTAGAGCTTCTCACCATCTTCTCACATGTGTTAGTAGGATGCTTTGCAGAAGAAAAGAAAAGGAAAAAAGAGACCAACAAGTGAAGCCTGTAATTGTTGATGCTTTCTTGAATGACTTTACAAGGTTCATCTCAAACTTCATGAATTAGGAAAAAAGATAAGGATCAATAAAACCATGTCCTTTCATTTGACCAGATAATTGCTTTTTTGAAGTTGAAAATGAACGAGGTAACAGGGGACTTTGACTGGACAGAAGGAAAAATGGAGAGATATTTCCATTAATATGGAAAAAAACCTGCTGTAGTACCAGCTGCAGGTTTACCAAGCAGAAGAGGTAAGAAGGCTTCAGCTCTGATGTGAACACAACATTTTCCTTAGACACCATAACTGCAGTAACTGCACTGTGTGAGGACAGTGAAGTAACAAAGGAATTTGGAAGAAATAGGAAGATTTTAAAAGATTTTGCAAAGGCCTGATGAAACTCTGCAGATGCAATTGCTCTTCTGTCTGAGGGTGGGAGTCCTTGACATCTTTCCCAGACTCTAGGAATACAAATGTGATGAAATACAGACTGCATCAGCAGCTGTAAAAGTAAAATAATGGATATTAAATAATAATTTTCAATGTGTTTCATGGTTCTCTGCAATTTTTCATCAAAGAAAGCCTATTGTAGGCACTAAGTATTAATATGGAAATGGGAATTAAGAAGCTAATGGTAGAAATAGATTTTTTAAACATCAAATATTTCTTAAAATTTCCCATGCGAGTGCAAATATTTAGTCTGGATATGAACTTAATGAAAAAATAACTCATAACCACTAATCCCTCTTTCTTTTTTTTCTTTGTCAGACCATTCTGAAGTCCCTGAAGCTGTTTTGTATAAAACTCCTGCCCAAGCAGGGTCATCCCAGAGCACATGGCACAGGATTATGTTGAGACAGTTCTTGAATATCCCCAGTGAGGGAGACTCCATACTCTATGGTGATCTCTTCCAGTGCTTGGTCACATGAACACTGAAGAAATTCTTCCTCTAATCCAGGTGGAGCTTCCTGGGCATCAGTTCCTGTCTGGTGTCTCTTGTCCTGTGAGCTGGAGCCCGGAGCAGAGCCTGGTGCATCCTCTGGGCTCTCCCTGCAGGCACTGACAGACAAGGGTGGGGAATCCCTTCAGGTGTGAGCAGGCACAGCTCCCTCAGCCTTTCCTTATAAGAAAGGTGCTCCAGTGCCTTAAGTATCCTTGTTTTCTGCTGGACCCATTACAGGAGCTGCACATCTCTCTTGTACTGAGGAGCCCAGAACTGAACAAGGTCTAGTCATGATGAGTCATTAGCTTTGGAAAAGTGACTGAAAATTTACACAATCTGTCCAAGAATCTGTTTGTTAAATATGCATAATACTTCATCCTCCCTCTGACCCCTCTCTATGATAAGATTTCCTTAAAATGGAAATGGATTTCAAAGCACAGGATTTGTATACATAAACCTAAATATCTCTCAACTGAATAACAAGCTTGCACCTGAAGTGCATTGCCTCTTAAGGAATTAATTACTGTGTAACCAACAACACAATGTCTTTGTTAGCAAGTGTGACCATTTCCAGTCCATTATCACGTCACTGCCAAAGCCAAAGCCATTTATCTGAGCGTGTCTGTGTCTCCCACAGACTGAGCTGCCTTGTTTTGGAGTCAGCAGTTAAATACTCATCTTACACATAGACACACACCAGCTGCTGAAAGGAATGGGCTGAACAGTGCTGACCTGAGCCGTCCTGAGAATCCTACAATTAGATTAACTGTTGTTACCAGTGTGCAACAAGTTGCTGTTCCACAAAGGATGCTCAGCTTTCCTGGGCTTAGGAAGATATTGATACATGAAAAGGTCCACTGTACATGACCCCTGCTGGTGCTTTAGGTCAATGTTCATGCATTGTGAAAAGCTGCACATACAGACAGGGTAAGAAATGGGGGAATGTCCCTCTGGAACCGGGTAAGCCAGGATGGAAGCGCCCAGAGCAGCACAGCAGCTCCAGCTCGTGGCCTTGGTAGCAAAAGGATGACACAAAGTTTTGGGAGGATAAGTGAGCAAAGCAGCACAAGAGAATTCACACACTGGAAAGGCTCAAGGTGCCTTGCAGCTCAGAATGTTCTGTGATTCTGTGACTGACAATTCTCAGGTCATGGATCACTGGGCATTGTTCCATGATGAGGTACAATCTGTGTCTAAGATTAGCTCATTTTCTGAAAGAGCACCAGAGCAAGTTTGGCCTCCTGTTACCAAAGCAACAATTTCAATAACTAAGCTTGACCCAGCTTGTTGAACATCTGACTGAGAGGGAACTGAGATGTTCAGCTTGGTCTTGGTGATGGAACAAAACAGAGACACAACATCCTAGGAGAGAACATTTGGCTCCATGCTACATGCTCCAGCATGAAAGCATTTAATTTCAAATATGTTTTAAGATTCTCTTTAATTAATGGCTTTCATAACAGGAAAAGACCTTCTCCAGCCAGCACAGTCAAGAGGCAAAATGGAGCAGGTGGTGGGTTTGGGAGGGGAATGAGAGAGCAGATGTTAGCTCAAAAATTTGGAATGCTCTTCGAGTCCCGCAGCAGGAGCCCAGTTTCCATCAAAGCATATTGTAGGAGCAATTAATTGGGACCACCCAGGCCTAGAATTTGGCAGAATAACATTTTCCATTCACAAAACACACTTCTGTGAGGCTGACTAGTTGTTTCAAATACTTTTTCACTTTGCAGATAATCTTCTCCATATTAAAGCACGTGAGAAAATACAAATCAAGCCACAAGCTGCTAAAATTCTGGGGACAGTCCTGGTCCCATTGAAGTGCATCTTTTGTTTATTTTTCAGGTGGCATCAAAGAAGCACAATTAAATGTGAAGGCACATGGGACCCAAGGGAAGAGCTTACCTTTTTGACCTCGTATTTAATAGCAAGTTTAATCCTGCTTAGACTCGGCCGGTGGTGCTCAGGGCACAAGTGGATGTTCACATCTCCATTCAGAATAGCCTCCACCTCCTCAGTGTCTCTGCACAGGTCCAGCACCCCCACAACAAAGTCCTTGCATTGCATAGATAACTTCCTATAGTCATTCTGAGGGAAAACAGAAAAAAAAAGGTATTTAATTGTGTGCTGGAAAGCTGGGCTGCAAACAGCAAATGAAAAAAGGGAGAGAGAGCAATTGTGAGCAAGGTTACTTCTGCAAAACTGCTGCCTGGAAGAGTAAGAAAGCATTTGATTTACACAGCATGTTGATGGCTTTTCACAAAAGTACAGGAACTCCTCCAGACTTAATTAGCAATGTTTCTATCAGCAGCACAGTTTGCATGATAATAGAACGAGTTTTACAGAACAAGTAAATAATTTCTAGGGAAATTTGGATTTTAAGCAATCAGTTGATGTCTGCTCTCTGTGTGGCGTATCTCTAGGAATGTAAAAATATGGCCAAGAAAAAGGTCCTGCTAACTGGGTAAAATATACAGCAATTTTTTCAGTTTAGATTCTTTCCTAGTAATTCTTTCTTTCATAACCTTCAAGAAGTTTCAGACTGGTACAACAAGCTGGAGCATCACACAGAGATGTGTTCAAATGAATTATATAGTTGTAAAACCAACTTCAGCCTCAAACCTTAGAATTTAGTTAAACAGTCCTGAAAGAGCATCCAGGTGAAAATTGTCACAACCCCTCTCCAAGAAATGGAACTTCAGAAACTCAGCATGATTTCCTGTGAAATAATTTCACTTTGAAATTACACTTATGGGGGAGGAGATAACCTGTACCTGACTTCAGAGGACTAGAAGAGCAATTTCCCTGCCCTAAATTAAACTGTGATTGATTTTCACATGCTGACACTTAAAAAATGAGGAGAGTGCCACCATCTGAGTAAATGTTGTAAATTAGAACACAATTAAGGCTACCATTCATATCATAACAAAATAGTGATATTAAAGGCTCCATGCAACAAATAGGAATAATAAGCATAAGACAAGCTCTAACTGATTTGAGAGGTCTTTTCAAATTAGGTTTGATGAGTTAATTAAATTCAGAACCTTATCTAATTAAGCCAGCAGCCAAAAGAAGAAGATAGTTAAACTTGTCTTTGATGAAGTGATAAGGGTAACCTGGCTTTGTGCTTCTGTGTTTTCTAAATTATCTATTTATCATTTACACATAGCAACATATTAGCCTTCCTTGTTACACAATGATCTCAAAGCACTGTGCAAACATTCATTAATTAGTTAGAACAGCACTGTCTAAAACACTTCATTAGAGGTGGCTTAACTTCTTTGGTCAGTTTTTCCCCTTCAGAACTGAGATGCTAATGATTTAAAATCAGTTGGTTCAATGACTTTGTCAAAGATTTGAGGTTACTTCTACCATGAATGTGTGTGCGTGTCCCAGCTTCACTTTTCATGCATGGGAAGAGCACAGAACAATTGAATAATCACAGAATAATAATCTCAGGGAAGCAGAAAGCCCCTCAGGGCTGCGGTGGGGCATTCTCACAGGAAGGGGAAGAAGCCATTTCTGATCTGAGTTTAGGAGAAGGGGCTGAAGGCAGCTGGGGAGTAGCAGGGATTTTACTGCTGACACCTTCTGCAAGGTAAAATTTGTATGTTTACATCCTCTTACATATCAAAAAAGTTTAGATCTGAGTTCCTCTCTTTGTCCTTGAGTGCTGTAGTCAGACCAGGTGTTCTAATTGTGTTGTTAATGGAGGGGAGCAAGAACTTCAAATCTTCATTAAGAGGAGACATAAAGAGTACAACAAGCAGATCTTTATCTGGGTGAATGCCCCATTGCAGAAGCTGGGCCACCAAGACTTCCATAAATGTGCCAAACTAGAGCACTAAGATTTAAGATGTTCTTATGTCTCAGGCAAAAGCCGATGTCCCATTTACATCTAAATCTAGTACGAGAACATTTTGTGGAGATAGAGAGGATTTGTGGAGTAAATGTTTTCAAATACAGGGTGAGGTAAAGTCTGAAATGTAAATGAAAGATAGATTTTACTTTATGGCTTCAAAGCACTCCTCTCACATCAATTCCATGCTTTAATCTTCCCCACACCAAGATGAATTTCAATAAATTGAAAGCTTACCTCTTCACTGAGAGTATAGATGGCCAAAGAAAAATATCAGCCTCTAAATAAATACAGAAATAGTGAAGGACAGCAAATATGGATAGATCTGAAAACATGTGTAGGGTGGGAATGAAATGCCTTGCTGCCACAGGTAATGGAGATGCTTAATTAGCCCAGCAGCTTAAAAAAACCGAGGGTGAGAACTCTGCTGGGCTTTAATAGCGTTCTCTATGTACTGTTTGCAAAGTTCACAAGCTTATCTCTTAACCTGCACATTTTAGGTAATTCTCATCACCACTTCCACATCATCTGAGCAACTAGTTTGTATTAGATTAGATTATTTCTCCCTCTTCTCCTTTCTTTAAAGAAAGATGTTTAGTAGCAACTAGGAAAGTGCTTCCAAAGCATCTGCAAATGGCAGGTTCCCAGCTGGCAAACTCTATCAAGACCCAACTTTATGCACATCTCTACCCTTAATGTTTTTACTGGTTCTGTACATTTGTAGAAACTATGGATGATTTCCTCATTCGAAGTTTTTTACTCCGATTTTTAAGTAGACACAAGCAGCCCTACATCCTATCCAAAGTACAAGCTGTAGAGAGAAAAATAAAATAAAATAAAATAAAATAAAATAAAATAAAATAAAATAAAATAAAATAAAATAAAATAATAAACTGCCCTACAGCAATTCTGCAGCCAGGCAGGCAGGCAGATTACATCTCTCAGGAGACTGCTCATCTGTTAAAACAAGACTCAAAGATCACTGAACCTGCTGTGTCTTCTGATGATCCCTTTTACAAAATCATTTGTCATCTTTGTTCTGGCCTCCTTAATGCTCACAGTCATCATAGAAAAGCCTGATCACCCTGATGGCAAGAACACACTCAATGACTCTCCTCATGTCAAGGTATTTCTCTCAAGCACACATTATTCTTTACTTAAAAACTGAGATTAACAGAGGTCTGACAGCCAAGCCTCTTCTGATCCTGGCTTGCAAAGCACAGCTCTGGTGATGCAAGCAGAAATTCTGTACCTGCACCTAAAATCCTGAATTGTGAGTTCTGACGCACGGGAAAAATCCCAAGAAAGCCAAGAAGATTTATTTACAGGCAGCATCCAAGCTCTATTGGTGTTCATGCCAGCACTGTTTATGTCACACATTTGCCTGTATTTCATACATTTGGAAGCATCCAAGATGCTGCTTTCCCTGCAGGAAGGAAAGCTGGGACAGTGGATGGGAGGCTGCAGCCCAGGGCAGAGATTAGCCAGGGGTGGGAGGAGGTGAAGAAAGACAAGGATGCATTTCCAGATACTTCCAGAAATTGGTGAGCAATTACAGAACTTGGGGAAACGGCCTGAAGCTGTGTCAGGAGAGGTTTAGGTTGTATGTTAGAAAAATATTCCTCACACAGAGGGTGTCTGGGCACTGGAAAAAGCTCCCCAGGGCATTGGTCACAGCACCAAACCTGACAGAGCTCAGGGAGCTCAACAGTCTCAGGAACATGATGGGATTCTTGGGGCTGCTCTGTGCAGGGCCAGGAGCTGTGTGGGTCCCTTCAAACTCAGAGCATTCTGTGATTCTCTGTGGTTCCTGTTACACCAAGGCTTTTGAAGATCACAGCCCTGAGGACTCCCATGACTCTGCCCGAGCCCAGAGGGGCAGATTGGCCGCCGTGCCTCGGGGTGCAAAGGGACAGTCCCCACTTCACCCTGCCCTGCCAGCCAGGTCCAACCCCTAAACCAGGCACCTCATGGCCCTGCTGTCCAAATGAGTGTTGTGGAGAACCATCCTGGCTGCAAGCCTGGCAGGCAGTGGGGTCAGACTTGTGCCACAACAGGAAACTCAGGGCTGGGGACACAAACCCCAGCTCAGTTCTCCTGGCAGGGCAGCAGAAGCACACACAGGCAATGACAGTAACCCAAACTTTCCCAGGCTCCCCAGTTAGGTGCCATATTATGGAAGTCTCAGGATTTAGAGGCTCATAAAGCAGATGGATTTTTACACTAATGAAAAATTGCAGGTCACACATGAGAGGTGCTGGGGCCTCATCCTGACAGGCTGAGTGCTGTCAAGCCTCGGGGAGGAAGATGAGGGATACAACCCAGGAGGCAAGAGAACCAGTCTGTTTCAAATAACACATGGAAGAGACTTTTATTTCCAATAGAGGTAGTGAGCAGAGCAGGATCAGGATAATGCCTGAGAATGTTACAATATCATTTTTTAAAAACTAGAATGTAATAAAAGGATTCCAAATTAGTAATTTCCTGCTTCTTCTAACACTGTTGTGCATGTGGAGTTAAAAATGTCTAATTTTGCTGTTTTGAAAAGGCTGATGGTACTTGTCATTCACTGCAATTTCTCCAAGTACCCTATTATTATCTGTTGATTATGTTCTAAATGAACTCTGTCATGTCTCCACATCTGTTCAAAACCAACCAGATATTTTCAGAAAAGAGCTGTTTCAGGTCAGAGGGATGGAGTTTGAGTAAAAAAGTTAAGTGAAATGAGAAAAACTAAGACCAGGAACCTATCTGGCTTTTCTGGGTAGCATTAAATTTGCTGTGCAAATGAAAGCTGCAGGCGCATTGCACAGAGTCTCTTTTTATGTTTCTTTGAGCTCTTGGCTCTTTGTATTTATTCTACATCACACATACACATATATCAAGGAGAGAAATACTGCATTGCTTAGATTAGCATTTTCAGAAGAGACAGCAGGAAAAAAATGGAGAGACAATTCTGTAAATATGAACAGAAAACTCCCCCAAGTAAAAATTATTCTAGAAAGAAAATAAAGCTGAGAGAAAGGAGGGGGACAAAATGCTGAAATATTTCACGCAAGATTTGAAATGAAATTGTTAAATAAACCATCATGTCAAATATTCAAATGCTTATAAATATTTGCCAATTAGACACCACATGAAATATGCACAAGCCTGCACTGAAAAGCTGTGGGGCAGATTTCCTTGTGGGTACTTAGAGTGTCTTTGGCTGGCCACATGTTTGGGAGTG